CTAACAACACGAAATTATAGTAAATAATAAATAAATCTGGATTCTGGTACCGATATCTTGCAAATTTATAAAGGGCTTTAAATATTTCACACGCGAGTCACGCAAGCATCGCGCGTAGTAAGGTGGACCGTTAAAGCCGGTATGCGAATTAGGTTCAACTTTCCACCTCGGCTGTGGTTACGGTGTTCGCACACCCCTAATATTTACTACTACTCGTGCATAAATAACATGGGGCCTGAGTACGATGACGTCACAGTGGCGTGCTTGTACACTGTATAAAAAATAACTTGTACAAAAAGTAAAGGCCATCTTTAAAGAATTAAAAAGAATAAAATAATGTCACATTTGTTAAAAGTATTTTTTTAGCCTTTCGAGTGGACTAAGGAATATCGCAATATCAAAGTTCTCATTTAAGAATGAAAATGCAGATGCGTTGTCACCCATGAGGACTGAGATAGAATGCCTCGTTTCCAGTAAAAATGGTCTCCAGTTCTCTACACTCAGTATATGAAATATAGCAGTATAATGCTGCTATTTTACGTTGGTATTCTGTGAGAGTGTGGTCCCACCCCCATCGAACCGACCCATTAGTGCTATAACCATAGTATAGCGGCAACGTGGTTCTAAAGAATAAAAAATGCGTAATAAATAACATGTATGAATTGCAAACATGACCACTTTAAATGCATCTGCAAAACCTTTCCTTGAGTATCACTGGGATGTCTAACTTTTTAAAAATAGATAAATAACAAATATCCTACCTTCTATGAACATGTTACGATTGTAAATATGATCAGTAACGATTCTAAATAACACCCCAGTATCCTACATTCTATTTCCAACTTGACCTACATCAAAACGCGAATAAAGATTGTACGAGTATCTCTTTTTATTTTATAGAGCCATTCTGCAGTTATATTACGGTTGTAGCACGAATAGGTCATTTAGGCCGGGGAAGACACTCTGGTCTCATAGAACACCTGCGTAAAATAGCAGCTAAAAGCTGTTGTGTTTCGTATGGTGAGTGTAGAAAACCGAAGACCCTTTTTACTGGAAACGGGACATTCCATATTTGTTCTCAAGGGTGACAACGTATCTGCATTTTGATATTGAGGAAAGATGTAGATGTAGATACCGTTTGTTACAGTTGTTATTGTTATTCTATTAAAAAAAAACCACTTATTCGTGTTATCACTGCCACCGTAGTAATCACAAGTTATTTTTTAAGAAAGTTGTCATAAATAACAGAACGTGGTATGTAATCTATCTATATAAAACACAAAAAATGTGTCCAAAACCTATGCCCGTTATAGACTTTGAAACCATCCAACCGATGTGCCCTAAACCGGTTTCATTATGGTTTTAAACCAGTAAAACAATGCATTAGGTACTATATAAAATGTTAATAAATAAACAAAATGTATTTCTTTTTTCAGCGTAGTAGCACACGTCGGGTATATCCGATAGTATATTTTAAAATTGACTTGTTTTACTATGATAACAGATGTTTTTAAACTAAACTGGACAAACGTGCCAAAAGTGTTCGATACATGTATTTTTGTGTTTTCTGGACGAAACTGCTGTGTTGCAATAAGATCGCCTTTTGTTTTCTCTCGTTATTTGTATGTTTTATGATAAATGATAATATTTGCTTGGTTAAGAAAGTAAAGAGTATTGTACTGTGTGTCGTAATGTCTATGTGATAAAATTATAAGATCGTAAACTTTATCAGCACTAAGTTAGCTAACTAGTTTAAACATTAAATATAAAAAACTAAATTGTATCTTTTATAATGACTTAAATTTTTATAATGAATTTCTTTAAAGATGTAAACATAAAACCGCCACGCTGCAATTATAAATATATATTATGTATATACGCGAACTTTGCTCTTTTTAAAGAAGGAGGTTCTATATTCGAAACGTTTGTTTTGTGTATATTCTGGAAAATGGCTGAGCCGATTTAAATTATCCTTTTTTAATTAAAGAGGTTCTAATACTACAGGGTACAGGGGTAATCCCACATAAATTTGAAGAAAAAATTCAATCCTTATAGTAGGAAAAATTGGGGTCGTAATTTTTTATGTCACTATTTAGACTAAAATCTAATTATTACCTTGTACTTGTGATATTGTTTGGTCCACTCAAAAACAGTAAAATAACTAACATTTAAGAAATGGAAAAACCGACGTCAAAAACTAATAATTATAACTTTTAACAAAAAGTAAATACCGAATTCAAAGTGGTAACAAGTGATTTTTTATAAAAGTTTGTACAAAAAAAATACTGTACCACGTTTCTTTCATATTCCTACATTGTCATCCGATTCTGAGCTTTGTTCAAAATTTCAAGTCTAGCCAATCGGGAAGTGCTCGAAATTTGAATTGCAAGATTCTACCCGGAACGACAGACAAGAAAGTAACTTAATAAAAACGTGATAAAAGAGAAGTCATTTATTTGCCACCCTTAGGGGTGAAATGTTTTCTCCTAATTTATCTGGAACCACCCCTAATGTATAAAATATTTAATTAATAATAATCTTCAAATTCGGGTCTCAATTGGCGAAGTATCGCGTAACGTTACATACAAAAAAACATACAGTCGAATTGAACTTTTTTGCCCCTCCTTTTTTGAAGTCGGCTAAAAAAAATGTCTAAATAATAGTTTCTGTGTCACTTTGTCACAATGTCATAGTACTAACTTAGAAGTTATTATGTGAAATCTATTTTATTCGTTTTAGTTTTTGTAGTCGGTTTTTACTTTTTCTTAAAAGTTTAATTACACAATATAGTGACTCGAATTTATAATAATATATGAGCCAATTATTGCAGTAAGCGATTGCGTAAGCATAATAACAATTAACAGTTAAGTAGATGAGATAACCTCAATTGTTTGCTCTCGGTCGGAAAGGTTTTCTAGAAGTAGGGACCACTAAAGGCACTGTACTCGTAACTTAGATTTTGAATAAACATCTTTAAGGCGTTAGTTTTTTTTTTGTGACAAATAGGCACACTGTTCACATTTATAAGCGGATGATATGGCTCATGGAGATTATTCTCTTTCTCTTTCTTAATTTATTTATTTATCTATACACATTTACATTTATCTTCGATTAAGAAACAAAATGCAGATGCGTTATTACCTCTGAGGATCAAGATGGAATGCCTCGTTTGCAGCAGAAGGAGTTTCCGGTTCGCTACACTTACCATACGTAACACAGCAGCATTAAGCTGCTATTTTAGGATGGTCTGTGAGAGCGTGTACTTCCCCGGTCGAGCTTACCCATTCGTGCTGCAAAAAGGTTAATTTCCAAATTGTAAACAAACTGGGGACACTATTTAAAATAATCATACAGATATCCGACGCAAAGCAACCAAAACAATGCCAATGGCAGTTAATTGTAATTCTAATTAAAAAAAAATGTGGGTTATTATAAAAAGTACTCAATTAAAAATCAGCCAAGAATGTAAATAATAAAAAAATATTTTACGCCGGATATAATGCCGGTGTATTAGGTATTTGATATTTTCTATTAATTATGTAATCAAAATATATAAGACCCAGACCGGCGACAAGAAGTAGGGTTAAAATGTGAAACGTCTGAAATGAATGTAAATAAAAAATCGTAAAATTAAGATAATTTCTACAACATGAGAGGCCCGTGTCAGTAATTATATTTTGGATAGATACAACATTATGATGTATTATGGCAAAAGTTGCAGCCTCTTAAAAATACGTAAATATTATGTAATAAAGTAATTGTCACTATGACATAATGGCAGTCCGGTATTATTACGCAAGGGGCGCTAAAATGTTTTCTAACACATGGCCTTGGCCCGGTTGTGGCAACATTTTAGCTCCCAATTATGACCACCTAACTAATTGGTCCTAATGATTGACCCAAGGGCGATGAACCGAATATGATAATTTATGAATTGGGTATTGATTGATTGGCTTGGTCATATTATCTGGTACGAATACAATTAAAGTTATCACCTGGCTGAAGTGATAAAGTTGTGACAAATTTACTCATACGCAACATCAAGCTTTTAGGTTAGTAGGTCGAATAGCAATACGATATCGCCTTGTTGATATCGATATTAAGTGACAGCTCGTTTGAATATTAACACAAAATCGAATAGTTATAGATTTTTGTTGATATTTATTTTTATTAGAGTCATGTTACACCTATTATGGTTGTAACACGAATAAGTTGGCTCGACCGGGGAAGGACCACGCTCTCACAGAATACCAGCGTAAAATAGCAGCATAACACTGCTGTGTTTCGTATGGTGGGTGTAGAGAACCGGAGACCCTTTTTACTGGAAACAAGGCATTCCATCTTAGTAAGGTGACAACACATCTGAATTTTGATTCTCAATTAAGGAAAAATGTAGATGTCTATGGTACACAGCATTCACTTACCATCAGGTGGACCGTGTGCTCGTTTGCCACCCTTATTTTATTTAAAACAAGTATTTCGATGACATCTAAAGTTTGCCAGTATTCATTGTGACAATGTGGCGAACTCTTCCATCCTGTGATGGTTAATGGTGGGACTTAGTATACATATACGTAGGTAGACTTGAATGCGGAGCGTAGATGTTGGACTTTACTGTCAACTTATCACGCTACCTGCTCTCATTCATCATCACCATCATCATCATTACCATTATTACAGCCCTTCACAAGTTCGCTACTGAGAATAGACCTTCCCCAAGGAATGCCACAAAGCGCGGTCCTGAGCCACCTGCATACATCGACTTCCTGCATCTCTAATCAGGTCGTCACTCCATCTAGTAGGGGGCTGCTCTTTACTTTACTTACTACTAGTACGAAAACTCCACTTGAAAGCCTTTCTCCCCCGTCGGTTGTCGGCTTTTCGAGCTATATGGCCGGCCCATTGCCACTTCAGCTTACTGATTCGTTAGGATACCTCAATGAGAAATATTACCGTGATAAAAATAAAATTAATAACAAGAGCTATTTCGTTCTTCGCAGGCCTTCAAACTCTTCAAGAAAAGCAAGAACCGTAAGCCACCACGAAACCGAGTGTCTCCAGCGCTGGTGCGCTCGCCTTCCTACAGCGGCACTGTGGACGCCCGCCCGGAGATAGATATCCAACACTTCTGTCCCTGTCGCACCTCTCTCCCACCCCTACATCTCGCCAACGAGTCCTACGAGAACGCCTCGTATTACAGTAGCTACAACAGCTATAGCTCGCACAATAACAGCCTGCAGAGTTACACAGAGTCGAACGATGGTGGGAGGTCGGATTCCGCTTATGAGTCCACAAGGAGCAGTCCGGCTCACACGAGGCCGGTCTGTTACGCGACAGTCACTTACTTCAACGTGAACGACAGCGAGGACAGCTCCAGTATCCACACCGAGTACACCATGCTCGACTACGACCCTGACGCAGATGAAGACGAGAGTGCCCAAAATATTATCAACGAAAGCATTGAGCTCGTCAGCACGTTATGAATTTCAAACTTAAGGTGTATTAAATGTTATAATTAGTGTTTGTTGCCGACTGTTTAATTAGTTTATTTGTCAGTTGGAGACACGAATTTAAATGAACTGTCAGTCTCTTTCGGCTTTATTACAAAATGGAGCAAGATCCCAGGGCGGCCAGACGTCACTTATTTTCTGAAGAACGAAATGTGTGATTGAGTAGTATTAGTATGTACTATGATCGCATGCCTACCTGCTAGCTTGGCCACTGGGTAATTTTCCAGGTATCAGGTAATCAAGGTACGTAAAAACATTATTCGCCTCAAATTAATTCTACCAGTTGATCTTTACGTAAATGTTAGATAATATTATAACAATCAGTCATCACACACACTCCCAGACACTTTCAGTCGGCAGTATCGCTTTGCAGATGCTTTCAAAAAAAATACTCAATTTGACTTATATCCTGAAGCTCCATTTTTATATATTTTAGCCAGACAACTATTTTGAAATGTTTTACAAGAAAGCAGACCGGTCCAAGGGGTCAACGATCTAGACCCAATTTTAATGTCTCTGTGGGTATGAGCACGAGTGAGACATGTATTAATATCTAGGGGATTATTGACCCCTAGGATCGGTCTGCCTTCTTCTAAAGCGTTTGAAAATAGTTATCTGGCTAAAATATATAAAAATGGAGCATTTTTGAGAGCTTTAAAGCGTCTGCAAAGCGATACTGCCGACGGAACGTGTCTGGGAGTATTGACGGAAGTTTTAACGATATTATTTAACATTTACGTAAAGATCAGCTGATAGAATGAACGTGAGGTGAGTAATCTTTTTACGTACCTTGATTACCTGATACCTGGGAATAGCCTACTGGCCAAGCTAACAGGTAGGTATGCGTTTATAGTACATACTAACACTACTCAATCATGCACATTTCGTTCGCCAGAAAATAAGTGACGTCTGGCGGCCCTGGGATCTTGGACTATACATAGTTTATATTTAGTCTCAGGTTTGAACTAAAATCTATTTCACGAAAGATGTCCCGCGGAAATATGCGAACTAAAATGTAATGTATGAAATTTGACAGCAAATGTCTATTTCGGCAAAGACTGTGGCGCTTCTCTAAGCGACTTCTTTATTTAGTAGGACTATTCTTGAGTTATATTTTAAGCGCGAGAATAACAATAAACTGTTTTGTAATAAGACGGTTTATGCCACTAAAATATACATTCCAAGTATATTACTAGTTAGAAGTGTTTACTAGAATTGTATTTTATGGCGTTCATGCATTATGAGTTATTTATGACGTATTTTACTATATTTACGCACTGCCGAAAAACTGTGTGATCCTCAGATAATATTTCGCACAACAAAAAGGTATTAATCTAATTTTTAAAGTAATAATATTTTTTTTACACAACTCCGTCCGTGTACACATCCTAAAGGTTACGCCAGTAAATTCTATTTATATTAAATTTTTCTTATATCTGAATTACTACTATATTTCATACTAAAATAGAAGAGGATAAAGTTGCTTTTAGAAATCTACAATATTTTATATATACTTGAGCGCGAAATGGAACGTTCCAACCACCATATACACAGGACTGATCTTCATTATACGTATATAATGTTATTATTAATAAACTTAAGATTAGCCGCTTTAACTAGGGTTAAGTTTTGAAAGCAGGCTAATAATCTTTTTAATTCTAAGACGATTAAACTTAAGTTTAATCGACCCCTATCGGTTAAGGAGCAAATGAAAAAAAAATGAAAGAAGTTATATACTTCAAAATGTATACCTAATCTATACAAATTAATAAAATTGAGGTGTCTGTTTGTAATGTCAAAATAACAGCTTTTTACTAAATGCATATGAAAGTATATACGGTACTTATAAGAAAAGCACAACTTTTAACATGTTTGTCTGTCTGTCTTTTATCTTTGTTCCGGCTAATCTCCGAAACGGCTGGACCGATTTCGACGGGACTTTCACTGGCAGATAGCTGATGTTATAAGGAGTAACTTAGGCTACTTATATTTTAGAAAAATTATTAGGATTCCGCGCAACATAGTTAAAACACTTAATTACACGCGGGCGAAGTTCCGGGGAACAGCTAGTATATTTAATAAAAAAATAACTAAAACTTGGTTATCCCTAAGTGTATTTGATTTATTCATGGTTAAAACCGTAGTCCGCTACCAATATAATTTTTTCAGCTAAAAATGAAAAAGTTTACAATTGAATTTGCAAACGAACATTATGTAGAACATTAGCGTAAGAACAAAACTAGAATCAAGTTTAGTCGGCCAATCTTAAGCTTATTTTGATACTTAGACTAACTGTAACATAATCAATTCAAAGAAGACCTTGCAATTCCCGGTTGATTATTCCTATTGGGTAATTGCTACAGTTGGCTTGATAAGCAAAAAAATTTGTAAAGACTAACCTATATTGCTTTGATTGAGTGAACTGATAGTACTAGAACGAACAATGGCTCCTATTTCATCACCAACAACTGCATTTAAAATCTTAGTATAACAGAAAAATAATGCGGACAATTATTTCGAAGAAGGTAGGGTTCAAATGCTAAAGTTTGGTTGGCGTTGCCACTTAGTGAACGTGGATATTAGGTGTTGATGTATGACACGGGCCATTGTGTTGCGATCTTTGCGGCGATATTGCGCTATTTCTGTGGGGCACGCCATTGTGTTTAACGAGTGGCGAGTCCGTGCTCAGGTCAGTTACACCGCTCGCGAACAGTTCATATAATATATCACTGAATATTACAAGAGACTTGCGCGGTTTGAAAGTTATTTACTTTCAAACAACTTGCATTTTTTACAGCAATTTCTAGATGCGGAAAGTAATGGTGTTTTTAAAAATTTTATATATAAACGTGTTGGTTTGGGGTTCAGTCATTTTTATTTTGTTTATTCGTAATTAAGAACATCTATAAGTTCAAAATGTAAATAAATTTGAAGCAAAACCTTTATTATTTATTATTGTTTTAATAATTACAATATGTCTGTATTTTTTTACCAGCCAGTTTTTTTATAGACCAGTGTTTGACTTGGTAAATTCCACTGACCTATTTTTTACCTATATAAAAGGAACAAGAAGTACATAATATTATAAATAATATTTCCAATCAATTGCTTTTATGTTCGATTTGGAGCTTATCGCTGTATCAATGAAAACAAATTGAATTTATTTGATAATGATAAATAATTGTAAGAAAATTGTAAAGCGTTTTTATACCTTTAATATTTAATAATTTTATGTAAATGAATGAATCTAAACACGCAAAGTAATCTCTAAGCTTTTGTGAATTTGTAAAGCAATTGTCTTTTTCTTATAAAAGAATTTTCCAAACAAAATTAAATACTAAATTTGTGTGTTTCGCCAACCAACGTTTAGTTATATACCAAAGTTATTGTGATACAAATATAAGCTTAGTTTTAATATTATAGTAATTAAGTCTGTTGATCTCAAACATATTCTATTAGAAAGTAAGTCGAATTAAGTCATTATTTAAGTTCGTAATTTAAACATGTACATAATATAAAAATTAAATAATTGTTTAAAATGTACTATAATATGTTTTATTTTTTATTCCAAATTTGTACCACTTTTTAATTTTATTTAATTATTTTATATAATCTCTTCGTGCGTGTCGTAAGAGGCGACAGAGAGAAGTGAAACAGAAGATGGGTAGACAACAGCGCCTTTCCTATGACTACTTAAAATATTATTATCATTGACTTATATATAAAAAAAACTGCATTTCGTTATCCGACTGCTAAGCGTGCTAACTTCGTCAAATATCTCCCCTATCTATGGGTGAGGCCTATGTTCAGCAGTGGACTTTTGCTGAATGTTGAATATTAATTAATATACAACATATTAATTAATATTCAACATATTAACTAAAAATAAAAACTGGCAAACCGCTTGCCAAGCGTTACAACTTGTAGTAGGGAAGGATTTTAATTGCCGCGCTTGGTAGAGGGATTGGCGTTTTTTTTATATGATAGGGTGACAAACGAGCAAACGAGCACACAGCCCACTTGATGGTAAGTGATTGCTGTTACCCATAGACATCTATATCTATCCTCAATAAAGAATCAGAATGCAGATGCGTTGTCACCCGTGAGGACTATTCCAGTAAAAAGGATTTCCGGTTCTCTACGCTCATCATGCAAAACACAGCAGTGTTAAGCTGGTATTCCGTGAGGGTGTGTGGTCGTTCCCCGGTCGAACTGACCGATTCGACTACTAATATACGACTACTAATATAGCTGCAGCGTGGCTCTACCATGTATATCGTCAACACGTACCATGTATGACGTTTGCAATACCAGAATTTTTGCACTTATGCTGCTGGCGTCACAGGTCAGACTATATTGGACATTTTAAGATTTACTGGTAATGCCCATAGTCGCCTCATTCGAGACCTACGGGACGAAATGCAGTGATGGATTCTCTTAGGCCGTATCACGCAGCCACGTACGATAACCATATTACAAAATATTACAAAAAAATTTTACTAAAAAGTAAAAAGTGACTTTAAAGAACAAAAAATAAAATTATTTCATATTCTGATATCGGTGTTAAGACAAACTGAATATTACTAAGAAATATTATATTTATATTATTTTAAATACCATTTATATGGACTAAGAAATATTACAATCTCAATTTCGCCTAAAGAGCAATATTAAAAACTTCATCTCTTATTTTTTCTACCTTCAGAGTTGTAACCTTTTACCCAAATTTATACGGCTCCGCCCCTAAAGTATAATCTGAATTTTGGTGATTCTTTTCTTATTAAATAAATAAGAAAATAATCACCAAAATCAGTTCACAATTAAAACGAAGATACCGCGTAACATAGATAAAAAAACGGCCAAGTGCGAGTCGGACTCGCGCACCGAGGGTTCCGAACAAATCCGTAGGTATATAAGTTTAAAATTATTAAAAATATTTTTATTGCATGATGTAACTAAAAACTCATGCCTTT